AGCTTTTTGCAACACTTCTGCTTCTAAATCAATTAAAACCAACATTGAATCAGGCTTGTTGGAACAAAAACATTGAACAGAGTCCAAGAACAGAACTATCACACCCTCACTTGAGTTGGAAATGGGAGGTTCATACCATCAGCACACAGCAAGGCTTATAGCAACCAACCAGCCATCAGCAGCAAGCTGGCAAAAGGAAAAAATGGGAGGTTTTGCAAGAAGCTTTGCAGAGAAAGATCTTTCCTGGGAGAACAAATGCATCTCTTGTCACACCCTGCTTTGTAAGGCACTCATGTCTGAGAACAGACTCTCGCTGTTCTCTGAGGGACTGATTTTATCTGATGTAGTTTTGACAAGTTCTGGGAAGGTCTGAACATGCAAACAGAAAATACTTGCACTAACTTGTTCTTCCATAAACTGGAAAGGAATCAATCTCTACCTTGCAGGTGTAAACTAATACTTCAATACCCTAAGGCAAGTTTCTACAACCAGTTTTCCTCTTAAATCCACATGACGTAAACCATAATGTTGCTCTACTAAAAAAAACAGCATCTCTTTTGAACTTGACCCCACAGTAATTAATTACTGATTTGCAAACCTGTTGTTACACCGGGACTAGTCTATATTCAATACCTTATTTCCATAACTGTTTGGTGACAGAAAAGCGTGTGTTTAAAACCAGTCTCATATCTCAGTTCCCAGAGGCAGCTCCCACACATTAAAGCAGAAAACACCCATGTGAGCCATCCAAAAAGTATCGGGTATGCACAAGCAATCACAGTGCTCAATAAGCAGAATTAGCATTTTAAGCAGCACTTATTATATGTCCATAAACAGAGATTGAGCAATGGGTGTTCCCAGACATCTGAGCCAAGGAAACGGCATCCCCAGAATGAGAGAATGGAAAGTCTTTCACTTGGAGGCTGTTTATGTCAGGTCTCCAAAAAGTAGGGCATGGTCCAACAGAGGAAAGGAGGGAGAGTGAGGAAGATGTGCAGTATCTGCTGTACGTGGAATAAGGACTCAGAATAATGCAGTTATATACAGTGCTAACCAACTGCACGTACCATAGCTCCCCAGATCACCTGGGACAAGGTTCAGCAGAACACTGAAAGGCACCACTTGGAGAAAACATCAATTCTAAAGGAAAGGATTTCAAACCCCTTTGTACCACAAAGATACTTCAACTGTTCTCTTCCAGACTCTGCTAATAGCTTGGGATGTTCAGTTCCAGGAAGACACTATGCACATACAAAATGAACGACTTTTATTTCTCCTTATTCAAGTTATTCTCACTTCTGGGACTTTACAGGAAAACCACTTTATCAAGGCAAACTATTTGATACATTAGCTAATGGAAACCATTCTCAGAAGGGCTACTACTCATGACAAGTAGCTCCAACAACAGAAAGCCAGCACACCTATGGATGGATCACTCAAAGGCACAGGGGTTCCAAAAGACCCCTTTACTCTTGACCTGCAAGTTGGATTCTGCACATCTCTGAACAGATATGGCATTTGAACACGAACATAAGAACAACTAGCATCAATGAGAATGAAAGCTGACATTTGTAAGAACACAACCCACTTCTGCATGACTATCTGATATCATTTTACTTTTCTTCCTGCTAAAGTACACGGCCACATTCCTTTGCCCTGTCTCCCCTCCTCGCTCGAGGAGGGGGAAGTGGTGTCCAGGCTGACTCACCAGGCAGCGGCAAGATCTCAGCAATCCTGCTCACAGACGCGGCAGGGTGGGACAGCCGCGCCCAGCCAAGCCTCGCTCCGAGAGCGAGGAACCGCACAGGGCTCCCTGAAACGCCGCGGGTGTGATCGGAGGCCAAACTCGGGGATCACTGCCTACCCGGAACACTGCCTGTGCAAGGGCTTCTCTTGTGCCCGTGCCAGCGGCCGCAGCATTGCCAGCGGCCGCACCCGGGGAGGAGGGCAGGGGCCGTAGCCCCAGTCCGAGCCCGACGCACGGGGCCCGCAGCCGGGCGAACCCCGCCTTCAGCGCCCGGCGCGGAACAGCCGCGTCGCTTCGAGGCTCCGGGCTGAAAAGTGAACGTACGCTACCATCGCTGACCCAGCTGAGCTCGGTGCACCTCCGCGAGAAGGAAAGAGTATGTGGGGAAGTTTGACCGAGTTTGGGAGCGGTTCCGCTTCCCCTGAGCGCTGCCGCCACACCCAGAGGTGCTGCGAGCGCATGAAACTTCCCGAGGGCAGCCTCGCCCTCAGAGGCCCCGGTTCCGACGTGAAGCCGAGCACAAAGCAGTAACTAACGGGAGCACAGCGCCGGAGGACGAGAAGGAAGAGAAGGGAAGACGAGCGCGGGTCGCAGCGGGGCAGCGGCCGCACCCAGCCACCGCCCCGCGCCCGCTCCGCTCCCGCCGCCCGCAGCCCCGGCCCGGCCCGGCCCGGCCCCGCGGGGCTGCTGCTGCCTCCCCCCTCTCCGCTATGCTCCGTTCCGCGCTGCGGGGGCGCCGGCCTCGGGCTCACCTGGCCGGGGCGAGCAGCTCGGCTCTAGCGACGGCTCCAGCGGCGGCTGCGGCCCGCAGCGGCCCGGGCGGGGTTTTAAAGGGCCGGGCGGGTCCTGCCCGCCCCGGCGCCCACCCGCCGGCCCCGCGTCTCGGCGCTGACTCACCCGGCCGCGCCCGCCTCCCGCCGCAGGGACGGGGTGGGCAAGGGCCGGGGCAGGAGCAGCCGCGTCCTCTGCACCGTGCCCTGCAGCGCCCCGGTCCCGACAGCACCGGGGGGGCACCGGTAGCTGCACCCTGGGGTGCGGGGTTCGGATCTGCCGTCGCTCCCCTGCCCCGCTCTCTGCACAGCCGCCCGGACTCCACTGAGCTGGGCATTCGCTGCCACCCGTCAGAACGGCTCCCGCTCACCCCTGGGCTCTGGCACAGCGAGCCCAGTGCCCTGCGGCTATGGCTAAGACCGCTTCGAACCGACAGTACTTAAGTCAGGGCTCAGAGTGCAGTATGTGTCTGAGCTGTAAGAAGTCATTCAGTCTTTTCTGAGTGACCAACAGAAAAGGACCTGGGGGTGCTGACTGATGGCTCTGAACATAAGCCAGCTTGTGTCCAGGTAGCCAAGAAGGCCAACAGCATCCTGGCCTGTATCAGCAATAGTGTGGCCAGCAGGACTGGGGCAATGATTCTCCTCCTGTACTGGGCACTGATGAAGCCGCACCTCAAAACCTGTGTTCAGTTCTGGACCTCTCACTACAAGAGAGACATTGAGGTGCTGGAGCAGGTCCAGGGAAGGGCAGTGAAGCCAGTGAAGGGCTTGGAGCACAAGTGTGATGGGGAACGGCTGAGGGACCTGGCTCGGGGGGCGGGGGGGTTAGTCTGGAGAAGAGAAACCTCAAGGGGGAACCTTACCACGCCCTACAAGTGCCTGACAGGAGGGTGGAGCCAGGAGGGGCTGGGCTCTGCTCCCAAGGAACAAGGGATGGGACAAGAGGAAATGGCCTCAAGCTGTGACAGGGGAGGTTTAGACTGGATATTAGGAACAAATTCTTCCCCAAAAGGGTGATCGGGCATTAGAACAGGCTGCCCAGGGCAGTGGTGGAATCACTGTCCCTGGAAGCGTTCATAAACCATGTAGACAAGGCTCTCAATGACATGGTTTAGTGGTGGACTTGGCAGTGCTGGGGAAATGGTTGGACTTGATGATCTTAAAGGTCTTTTTCCAACCTATTGGTTCTATGACATATGCCATAAGCAATAACACTAGAAGACTGATACACAAGCTCTGCAGCTCACTGTACTATGCTCAGATAACGCAAACAGGCCACAGCACACTCAGAAAAGAAGAGGGGAAATAAAAACTTCTGCCAGACTGACTGCTGAAAAATAAGTGACTGAAGCCCAGGTGTCAGATGGTAACAAAGCATGATACAGTTAGGAAGGAAAAAGTATTTCCAAAAGAAGATCTGCAGTTGGCTCACTTCAGAATACTGCTCCAGCACAGCAGCACAGCCAATTCACTGCTGATAAGAAGCCATCATTCCCCATTCCCAGTACATGCTGTTATTCCTGAAAGTTCAGTGTGGCTTTTTCAACCCATGCAGGTGAACACCTTTAGGTAGTCCTTTCAAAAATATGTTGTCACAGAGTGGTTTTGATTCTGCAAAGAGATTTGCCTCTGCTACAAGGGTTTTTTTAGGCACAGAGACATCTTCTGGTAGAAAAAGAGGGTAAGAAAGTTTCAGGTTTGGCCAGGTACATAAAAACAGTGGTGGCAAAAGCAGGCAAGCAAGAGAGAGACACAAGAAGATGATCCGAGGGACAAAATAATTACTGGGATGAAACAAGATCAGAGATACAAAAAGAGAGAAATACTAAGAAATCCTACACTACAAACATGGAGGCAACAGATGAACTGGTGAATTAGTCATTGCAGAAGGTAAAAACAGTGTTAATTGCCCTTTCTTGAATACACAGAAGTAACATGAAGGGGACAGCCTTTGGAAAAGGCACACTGTGCAACAGCGTTTGGTCAGAGAACATCAGCGCCAGCATTACTTTAGTTTTGACAAGGCCACTGGGGTTATTTCTCTGTATTAATGAGCCTAGCTTTAAAATTAAGTCTTAGGTATCGCACTTCATGCAGTGTCTGACAGTTAAACAGATAATTTCCTCCTGCTTTTCAGGTCCTTAAAAAAAAATATCACTTGTAACTTGAACTTGGAAAGGTGATTCACAGCTCAAAACCCCTTACAGTCCTAGAAGTAAAAGCCCTTCCATCCTGCAGTAATCCTTGGGAGCTTTAAATAGGATAAGCAGCTGAGCAGAAGCCAGGCAGCCAATTTGCCTACTAATGGATGCACAGTCCCTTGGGGGAGAGATTTTTTACGATCTCTTGTCAAATATTCTTAACGCAAAAGCAGAGAAGCATAACCACAACACCCTCAGCTGAAAACAGTGCATTCACATGTAATGTACTGCCAACACACACTGCATTCTTGTACAAAATCTGCTGAGTCACTCATTAATGAGTTTAGAGCTTAACTGAAAGTCCATTTACCTTTCAGTCCTCTACTGCAGCCTGTTCCAATGACTACTGTTCCCATATCCTTAGAAACCTGTTCTCCTTTTAGTAACTCAATACTTTTTAAGATCTGAAGTAGCTCCTATGCCACCACTAATTTCTGCTAACCAGATCTTCATATGAACAGTTTGCAAAAGCTTTGATATCAAGTGGACTATTATCATTACAGCCACGTTAATTGCAGCACTTTCAACAGCTTCAGAAACGTTGTCTCTAATATCCAACTTCATCATCAATTATTTAATCTCAGAATCACACATTCACCTCCGTTTAAAACAGACAGCAGCCTCTCTGAACTTACACAAGCTTCAGGGACTGTTGAAGTGATTTCAAAAGAAAAAAGACTGACAATAGGAAGAAAAAGAACACCCATATTCAGAGTCTTGAAGGTATAAACATCATATTCAAACATATTATGAATTCCCTCAATTGCTCTCCGCTTATGTAGGTCAACTGACATCAAAGGCACTTGTACCAGTTGGGGAATCCAAGTAGTATGAACAACAGAAAACACATTAACATTTGCTGCAGAACAACCAGCCATCCCCCAATACCTGATCCTGCCCATAGAAACATGACATACCCTTCATACCTTTAAGAAAAACCTCTGCAAAGCCAGTGAATTGAAGAAGGCAGCAGTCAGACTGTCCAAATAGGAAAGACTTCTGTTACCTGCCAAAAAGGGAAAGGAAATTAATTCAATGGGAGAACAGCAGCCAAGTGCCTGGATTGCTTTTTATAATGAGACATAAGCTTGTTATGCTACAGGAGTTACTCCTGAAGATTTACCCAAAGCCTGGAGGGTTTGTTCAACCCCTATCATAAGGGGTTCTGACCACTGCTCCTGAGCACTACATTAAAGTAACTACTGTCAGCATGAGGCTGGACAGAAGGCTGGGACAAGGACTGCACTAATGACAAGCCCAGTGTTTCTCTGTGCCTGCATCACAGACAATTTACTGGAAGAAACACGCTGCAACTAGCCTGCAAATAAGGCAGTGCCAAGAAAGGGTTTCAATTAGTTTTCACATTGCTTAGTCTCTACCCCCCCCCCCCCCCCTTAGAATATCTGCAAAGAAGATCATATTTCAAATAACCATCAAGTACTTCAGCTGCAATTACCTATTTGTGCTCCCTGGCTTCCTGCATGCTGACCACAGAAATTGAAGGGGGTGCACTTGTGTCGACTGGAGCTCCCCAGAGTCCTGTGCATGAAAAAAACAGACGTAATTGTGCCAACTTACCATTCTTCCCCCCTGACAGCTTGCTGTGGTTCAACCTATACCCTATGGACATACTGTAGGTGCATTTTCTCTCACATCAGTGACATGGCTATTGCAAATTCTCCCATTGTTTTGTTACCGCTTAATATTGCTTGACACTAAGTTAATGTCTTTCCCCTCCCTCTTTCAACTCAATATACCATTGTCTTGCACCTCACCAACACCTTTGATTTTTCTTGTCATTATCTTTGCTTTATGCTATACTATTGGAAGCTCGGTGTATTTAACTTGAATATTACATTTGTTTCCCTCTGCCCCAAATTGTATATCCACAATAACACTAATACATACAGGGTCACTCCAGGTCTCAATAGATTTTTCCCTCACTTCTGTGCCTGATTGTTTGGCTCCTTTGTCCACACAGAGCTTGCTCATGCTCTTTCAGGATGCTGTCTACAAAGAATCAAAGATGCATTAGCAGTGGAGTGATGAAGGCCACAATCTTGTCAATGTCTATTGCCTACTTAAACTTTATTCAGAATAAAAAAAAGTAATCAGGACAAAGGACTTTCTGGTGCAGCCCTAGGTGTGGCTGAGTCTCTGTGTTGTGTTGCCTCCCTCAATGTGCTCTGTGTTGCAAGAGGATAGTACAAATTCCATTCCAATTAACACATGGATCAGGCAGACCTCTGGGTGTTATTATTTTTGCACTTGTATTATTTGGTCTAATTTGGGAGCTTCCATGGTACAAATTCACATAGATTTGTTATTAGTGCTTAAGAGTAATCACAGGTGATGGAGCAAGTTAAGTATAACTTAAAAGTTATGCTAGGTGAGTTCTCAGGGGCTAAAAACCTGGCCAGTTATTATGAAGAAAGGAGGAGGCATTCCTAAAAGCACACCTGGACCATATTAGTAAAATTCTGAACACTGAAAGTGGTGTTGGGGGAGAAGGTTGTGTGTTCAGGGAGAGTGCAGTGTTTTCAGTGACATCCACAATGATTAAGCCTCCCAGAATTGTAATTCCAATGTATCTTTTTGAATAATAGAATAACAGAATTAGAATAGAATGCCATCTTTTGTCTAATCAATATCAGACATCTTGTTATGTGCTCCACCTAACAACCTAAGCCCATGGACCAATTCTGTCTGCGCAATCTCATTCCTGAGCAAATGTTATTCTCCGCTCAGAAACTGCTTATTTGAAATAATCCTTTTTAAAGAGCTTGACTCAAGTGTGGAATGATGTTATGTTGTGTGTTAGCCAGATAGCCTAATATTTTGTTATGCTTGTATTTTACAAACAAAGCATTACATCAGGTGGCATTCACTAGTTCAGAATGGCTTCAGAGGGGCAGTATGCTTAAGAATAGGGCATCCAGGTTAGAAACTGGACACCAGGACTGTATGCCTAGCAGAGTTACGGTTTGCTGTGTGATCTTAGATTGTTGCCTTCTCACTGATTAGGTCCTGTCTTTTAACTATTAACTCTTTAGGGCAAAGACTATTGCATCTGCTACAGAAAATGCTAAATAACATAAATTACTTCATCAACATACAGTAATAAATTAGGCTTACCAAATAGTTCCCAGTTTATCTTCATCTGTTTCATACAAAGTCTACATTACATGAAAGTTTATATAACCTTGTTTAAAGGATCTATTTTAGCAATTGTTGTAACAAAGATATGATAGGCGTTATGTTCTAGTTACTTCCCATGTAGACTCTCAAAGTGCTTTACACATTAGAACATGACATTAAATACTTGTAATGGCTAGAAAAACATCCCTCTATCTCCCACCAGTTGGCTACATCCTGCATATGACTTCCAAAAGTCTCCTTTTACATCTTGATACTGTTTTATCACTGGATTTGTCTTCAGCTACTTTGCAACTCTGTATTATCTGCAAATTGATTTCTGTCTGTTGTTCGGCATCCCTTCTCTGCCACTTTCGTGCATGTCCAACCATAATCTTAGTTTGAACTCTATTTTCTTTCCAAATACTTTCCTCATCACCAGCATACATAACACTATTGTCCTTCTCCTTTTATCTTACAATCTTAGTGAATCCTTCCGCTTTGAGCTTAGGGCAGAAGGAGCTTGCCTCCACAAAGAACCAGATGCCTGGGTGACTTGGGGTTCAAATCAAGACGAGGAAGTAACAAGGGAAAATACTAGCTGAGACTGTAGTTACAGAACTCAAAGATACTCCTTTAGCAGAAGTTTATAACAAAGCAAGCTGTCTCAGGGCACATATGCAGTCTAACTAAAGTCTACCAATTGCCAAAACCTGTAAAGTTTGAGTCACCATGGCGAAATCTCATTGGACTGGCTGTCCACTTCAACAGAAAACAACAGGGAATTATCTATGCTCTGTCAATATAATTCAGAAGGAAGCAAGATCCTCTGTAACTCTCATTTAGCTGACACAGGTAAAGCAACACAGGCCTGCAACTTCAAATGTGTAGTAGGATTTTTTTCCCCTCAAAACTCAGCGCAGGCTATTCCATATTCTCTCCTACTGTTTGGCATGCTAACTGGAGTAAGCCAGAGAGGTACACATATTCAAGTAACACAGAGATTCAAAGAGGAATATACACCATGAAGAAAAGGTAAACAAGAAATTCGGATACATGTGTACCAAAGAACAGAAAAACAACTCCTCTGGCATCACGACTATTAACAGTGTCTGGAGCTCAATTCCATTTCTAAGCTAAAATGTGAGTCACTAGCACTTTGGTTTTTCAGTGTGCCTCGCAGAAGTAATCATCTGGTGTGTGAGTAGGAGAGGTCGCCTAGATACATCATAAACAGAAATGAAACACACTGCCAAATCCCTTGTGCTGGTATCGGTGGCATGAATAAACTCAGCGTCCTTATACTGAATGAAACAGTCACAGGATATACAAACAAACAGTCACTACGTGTGTGACTGCCTTTCCGTGGATTTCCTCAGTGCCTTGGGGACATCCTGATGCCCTGCTTGATAGCCAGCAGCCTTTTTTATCCCAAAATCATGCAATCTGAGACAAAACAAGGGCCACAAAGCATTGTCAGACATTAAAGAAGGTAACTTTACTTTCTGTTCTCAGGTTATCATGAATACCTTCAAGCACTGTTCAAGCTACTTCAGGTCAGAGTTGCAGTTCCATCTGAATCTAGGTACTGTGCTGTTTTTACTCCTATATACACTAACAGGTTAAAAAGACACATCTCAAAGCCACTGTGAGAGGAGTCCAGCTTTCCCAGCAGTATCAGCACAGTACTGCTAGCATAAACAGACTACCAGTAGATATTAAAGAATTAAGAGATTCTGAACCCATTTAGATGACATAGAGCTTAAACGATCACAGCTGCCAGCTCCACAGTAATGTTCACCAGACTGCAACCACACTGGAAAACCCAGTAGGAAATATTACCAGTGCACATAGGAGCCCCTGACATCATCCAGAACAGACCAGCATGAATAATCACTGCAGAGTTTGGCCTGTCTTGCCAGAAGGCAAAAAAAAAAAGCTATAAAAGATGGAAGCTGCCAAAAGTCCTCAGGGAATTTTTCCGAGTGTTAAAAGGTTTCATATAAGCCCAAGTCTCTCCAGCTTCATTGTTTCCCATCGTTATGAGCTTTTTCCACTTTGGTGACTCACAATACAAACAATCCCATGGTTTGGATTAATGTCCTGGCCTCTGCAAAAAGTATAGGGGAGGCTGTCACACCTTAAATATGTCCCTGAGAATTTCAGGGAGCAGTTCTGGAAGTTTCCAGGGATCTGATGAAGCACCATCTAAAGTTACTCTAAAAATCCTTAAGCAACAGGATCTGCAGGCTAGTAACTGCATACTGCAAGAAGTATGTCCTTTTTATTTAATATCATGCCATCTCTGAGATAGCCCATGAAAATGAATTTAAAAACCACTTACAGATTACAGTTCACTGACAGGAATCAGCATATTGGAACTTGATGATCTTAAGGTCCTTTCCAACCCTAACTATTCTATGATTCTGTATTAATACTCCAGCAATCTGGAATGCAGCTGTAAAATTTCAATTAAGATCAATTATATTGTGAAATAGTGTGGATTTTGTTTGTTTTAAAACGTATCAACCCTGATTTAGTACAAAACAACATAAAGCACTTATGATTTTGAGCAAGTTCTTACATGATCTGATATTCATTAGCTAATAAGGCTCAGCTGAGGTACTAGCTGGAACAAATGATGCCTTGCAACACAAAGGAATGTCACAGTTTCTTGATTAAAATGACTGTCAACACTGATATCTTTTTTAGCTCTTTCTAGTGGCATCTTACAGCTTAGATAAAATTTAAGGCAAATCAACTTGACTTCAAAAAAAGCTGTTGACTGAGTGAAAGAGAATGGCTGTTATGAAGAGACTTGTTTCTGCCAGGCAAGTGAAGACTTGCTTTTCCAGGTCAGATGCACAGGTTTGAATTCCAAAACCACAGATCTCTTCCTTTAATGAATCACAAAACCATGTAACAGCCTATTGCTTTAGCATGAAGCAGTACATACAATACTTAACATTTTCATTAATGTTTAGTTTCAAATAAGCCTTCAGGAAACACTTCTACTCTAGCTGCGTAACTTTCACTGCTGTGTCCAGCATGCTAGTAGCTAGTGCTCACACAGGGAAACGATATTCAGCGTTGCAGGAGATGAAACAAAAGGCTGCAGTGCACAACTGCAGATAATTTTCAAGCAAGTCCTCAACACTAAGGTTTATTTTCCTAATGCTACAATCATCCAGGAAGTCGTTAAGACAATCGTGAGCAGCCAGTGTACAGCATGTACAGAATAACTGAGCTCAAAACAGTAGAGCAAAGGAGTGGAAGCCTAGCTGACTGATCAGCAAGAACAGACATGGAAACACTGATGGCTGTCATCTTTCCTGTGGAGACAGAGGCTAAAGCCTTCAGGAGGGTTTTGCCAGGATAGAAAGCTGGATCCCCAAATTTAAGCCACAGCCTGACACATGCACACACAAACACACAGAATAGCATGAAAACACAGGCATTTATAAGCCAAAGAAACGTGTTCAGTATTTTCTCAGTTTGTCTATTTGGGCTAGTAGAAAACCTATAAATGGAAGATAATGCATTCTTTTGAAAAATACGATGTTGTATGAAATACAGTCCCTGAAGAAGGCAGGAAACAAACACCTTGATTCATACAAATTTACTGCTTGTTGTTAGGAAAAATACAAACAAACAAACAAACAAAGGCTGTTGTGACAGGTCTATGATAGGTCAGCTGACCCACAAACCTCTTTCTTCTCAAGAGACAGTGCCACTACAATATTCTTTCTATGTTTCTTAACCTAAATGTGCTGCTTTTGGCTTAAAAACATCAGTCTAATCAATCTTACTGTGCATTCTGCTTAGGTTACCCACAAAGAAGTCAAAGAATTCCAGCTGTGATGTGAGCACTTATTAATCTGGAAATGACCAGAAAAACCTGTTCAAAGTAGCATGTGCAGCTATGCAGTAACTATATCTTCATTTATTTTATTACTCTTGCTATTCACAAAGAATATCCAGAGTTGCACGAGATTATTGTCCTGTCAATCAGGGAACAGAACCGTACAACTGCAGTACTGGATGGTTAAATACATGGTTCTGAAATAAATGGATTTTGACTGCTGAGGTAGCTTTTCACACAACCTGCTCAGCAGAGGGAATAAGCAGCAATGGGGTTCTGACAGCTACTTCTTACCCTCTTTTTAAGGTCAAATTTAACCAGACTATCAAAATATTTGCTGAAGTGCCTGTCTGCAAGGCAGCACAGCCCACATGAGACAAACTGACAAGTGACTTACATCAGTTAGAATCTTTTCGCATTCTTTTGGTCTTTGTTTTGAATTGCTTGCAGAAAGATTTGGTAGATGGAGCTTTTGAATGTAATGAACCACCAATTGCAGCAGGCCTGGCATGGGATGGCATTCATGGTGTTCACTCAACTATGGGATAAACACATTGTAAAGTCTGCAGTAAGAATCATGAACAGACTAGAATTATTTTCAAAGTTGCACCATGACACCGAATCTGATTTTCAGTGATTAAATGAAGTTCTGCACAAATATTCTCACTTTATTCATAGAGATGCTTTTAAATAGTTCCTGAAAAATACACCAGAAGCATTGATACTAGAGGGAATTTGGCTATACTGATTATTAACATGGATGTATTACAGATTTATTTACAGAAAATTCTTATGGTCTTCTCTCTTCTGGTATACTTCTTTTTTTGGTATACTTCTCTAAAAGTATACCAAGAAGAAGTGACATGAGAAGAGCTGGGGAATCTCAGCAAGACCAGCTTATGCTGCATCATTCCTTTAAAACCACAGTGTGAATGCACTATAGCAGCGGCTGTGGTAGGAGCAGGCCTTAGGGGAAGCAAGACCAACAGAACAGAAAGGCTGCATTTTGTTATGAAAGAAGGAGCTTAGTTACAGAACTTCTTGGATAAGCATCTGAGAAGATTATACATCCAGCCATGCACAGACAGGGGGAGATACTGAAAATGCTCCATCCACTAGTAGAAGTTAATGCAGCTTACATGGAGGTCAGCACTAGATGTTTTTAAAGACCACTTATGAACTGAGTCTTACGTTGTTTTAGAGACAAGCTGCTATTTAAAATACAGGTCAAGCAAAGCAGATGCAGAAAAAGTACCTCCTCAGTGTCTGCTACTGAACTTCAGTGCATGAGGTCAGACAGTCCCTTGCTGTTGGCAGATCCCTGCTGCCAGCATGGTCACTTGGTCCCAGTTCCTCCAGCCACTAGACTACACTAGGAGACAGAGCACAAAACCATAGTAAATCTATTCTTAACATTTTAGATAGACAGTGTCTACTGTACCCCTAAAAAGTTTTACAGACAAACAGTGAAGGTGAAGAGGTTTAGCCAGTCACATATGGGAACATATACAGTTCATGATTCATTAGTGCAAATAGTTTGAAAACACTTATTACAGCAGAAATAAAGACAAATCAGATTTCACAACCAGTAACTCATTATTCATGCTAACATAAAGAACTGATAAAGTTTTATGGTTTTGCATGTATGTCAACCAGTAATCTCAAATGCCAGGTAAGAAGGCCCCCTGTAGTCCTCCAAAAGTAAATTCAAACAGCCTGAACATGATATGAAGCTATAAATGTAATCTCTTAACAAATACTAGTGAATGGGGAGAACCAGATGCAATATCAATGATCTCACACAGCATGGAAAGCAAATATATTCTCAGAATTTCTTACATTTTCAGTGAAGTGATTAGCAGCTGAAAGCTGAACTAGCAGTTGAGCTTGTCATGAACAGAGCTTCTCAGTGGTTGATACTGTGTCCAGAACTACTCAGTATTCTTAAAAGTCATCTGGATAACACAATGGAATCAACTTTCACCAAGTTTGCAGATGATGTCAAATGGGGAGAAGATGCAGTTAAGAGTGGACAGATGTACCACAGTGCAGAAACTCAAGACAGGCTGCACGAGTGGGCCAACAAGAATGGCATGGGACTCAGCAAAGAAAGTCCTACACCCAGAAGATGATAATCCCAAGCAGCAGCACAGGCTGCTCCATTAGCACAGGACTGCAAACATCCGCACTGAAAAGCTGAGAGAACCGAGTACAGAGATCCCTGTGGAATCCGTTTGACCAGTTCTCTGGCACGTAGAGTTTCCTGTTCTGAAAGACAGGACAGCACATACTTCCCCCTATACAACAAGGTAAACCTACATAAAGCAAAAAAAACTAAGGAGGCAAAAGTATAACCAGAAGCTTCTGCAAGTTACATCTAACCACGTGCTCCAAATAAAGATTTAAAAGATACTCTTACAAGACTGACAAAAAGTAGTAATTACATTTAAAATCAAGCCATATAAATTGCAACATGAACACACACAATCCATTCCAAACACAGAGCTGAAGACTGAAATTACAGGATCACAGAATGGTTTGGGTTGGAAAGGACCTTAAGATCATCCAAGTTCCAACCCCCCTGCCATGGACAGGGACACCTCCCACTACACCATGTCATCCAAGGCTCTGTACAGCCTGGCCTTGAACACTGCCAGGGATGGAGCATTCACCATGTCTCTGGGCAGCCTATGCCAGTGCCTCATCACCCTCACAGTAAAGAATTTCTTCCTTATATCTAACCTGAACTTTCTTTGTTTAAGTTTGAACTCATCACCCTTTGTCTTCACTACAGTCCCCAATGAAGAGTCCCTCTCCAGCATCCTTGTAGGCCCCCTTCAGACACTGGGAGGCTGCTATGAGGTCTCTACACAGCTTTCTCTTCCCCAGGCTGAACAGCCCCAACTTTCAGCCTTTCATATGGGAGGTGCTCCGGACCCCTGATCATCCTCATGGCCCTCATGGATGCGAGATCTGTGGATTTTCTTCCCTAAACTAACTGGCTTGAGGCCATAAAAAAGATCAGCACTAGTTAGCTGTAGAGCAACAATTACCTGGTGAGTAAGACCCAGGCCCAGCCACTCTCCTTCAGCTGCAGTTTCCTGCTTCTCATAGCTCTACAGTCTGTATTACATTTAGGAATTTATATTTTGATGGCATCACAAGTTAGGCTCCTCTGTATTCCTTCTTTTTCCTCCACTACAGGTAGCTGTAACTTGAGGAGCAGTTCATACAGAACCAGCTATCCAGCACCTCCTCACCAGCACATTCTCTGACTTTACTGAAGTATTTTTGTACCAATTATTCTGATTCAACCATTTGTTGATGTTTCTACCTAAACATTTATTTCAGATGTTACTACCTGAAATAAACACGCTCTCCCTTTTGTCCTGTCCTCCTATCACTGCTTTAAATAGGTTTTACATGAAAAAAGAAACAGATTTTTAGATGCAAATATCAATAGAGTACACCTTGGTACACCACCCATGGTACAAGAACAAAACCAGAGTCTTTCAAACAAGTAAATCATCATCTCAGAGCAATTCACTTCAGTCCAACTTAGCCCAAAAGAGAACAATAAAATAAAACATAACAGTGAATTAAAAAGCCATCTCATGTGTTGTATACAAACTCCAGATTCCCTACCTGATAAAAAACTACAATTAGTAAGCTACCATTAACAGTACACTAGTGTAGTATAATAGCATACTATTAAGAGAAAGACACAAGTCTTTTAGGCATACATATGTATAGGCAACTAAACCATACATTTCTAACATACAAAACTGCAACAAAAAACTAAATTCCACATGAGTCTGGCAAAAGTTTTTATATGGAGAAGCTGAAAATCCCTTGAATTCCCACACAGACCTGGGTACCTGGCAGAAATGACTCACAACTAAAATATTCCTATTAAGAGAGGTCACTAAGTGCTTTGAGGCTTTTGAATCAGAGCAACTTGGCATTTGCAAACAGCTCTGCGCCAGTTCAGCACATCATTAGCGTATCACTGCAGTGAAAAGAAGCAGTGGCCAAAACAAAAGTAAAATGAATACTACTATAAATATATTTAACAGTGAGTGTGGTGAGGGTTAGGGTGAATGCACTGTATTTCATAAAGAACAGTTTAATATACATTCATTGTTTAAGTCTCCTTTTAAAAAACCCTAACCAAACAAAACCAAATCCCAGCTTCAGGATTATACAAGAGGTATACCTCAGTAAACAATCTGAATCCCTTATTTTTACTTTCATGACATTAAAATGTGCCATGTCAAGCCCCAGTGAGCAGAATACTTGATCAGATGTGTGTACTTGGTAACTTCTTTGTCGAAACAAACGACTTGGAAGATAATCTGTAAAGCCTTTGTGTTTTATTTAAGCAGTTAATCCATACCAGCAGCTCTCCAGAACATCATCCAAACAAAAACTGGCTCAGACATTTTAAAATAACAGTTTTGTTGTTTAAAATAAAAGAAAAAAAAGGGAAAGAATTTACTGAACTCATGGCTTTCAAGAATTCATGAGGTTTTCTAAATTCAGTACTTTTAATAGAGGACAATATAGGCAGAAATCCAGAAAACAAATACAAACCACAAGTGATGACAGTGAACATCATTTTCGAGCCTCAGTTTCAAGGACTGTTTCTGTTGAAAGTCTATTTGATGAAACTCTGAAAATATGTACCAGAAAACAGTTGTAACACAAAGAAACCTTCACTCACAAGCAACCATGTTAGTCATACATCACACAATACAACATGGTTACATGCAAACGTTCAGAATGGCTTTAATTTTTCCACACAACTCATATTCAGCAGGAAACTGCATGTCATCACATTGCTTGGCTTTTTCATAGACAGTAAGTATTCCATTTTCCTATCTTTACTCTGTCAGTTTGGCTCGAAATTTGGAGCAAATTGCTGATGCACAGCATAGTCTGGTTGGGTTTTTGCAACACTGACCAAGGCCTTGATCCTATCACTTGTTCCTCCAAGCAATCCTTAATACCTTAGATAAGTACTACTGCATAGAATCACAGAATAGTCAGGTCTGGAAAGGACCTTAACCCTAACCCTAACTATTCTTGTGAGAGAGACCATGTGCAATCACCTATCCCATGGACAGGGACACGATGTGCAATCTAATGTGAGATTTAGGTTATGGCCGTGCAGTAATACAGTAAATAACTGCGATATTCATTTTTGAGGACACACCAGAATCCAAACAATTTTTGGAAATTACTCTGGGGAAGTGTAAAAATACCTCTTTTTACCTGTCTAGCTGTAATCCCAACTTTCCTAGTACAAATTTATGGCACGTACTATTCAAATAAATACAGATTTTGTTCGCTAAACCTCATCTGTTACACCAGCCTAAAAAGAAGATGCATTTTTAAAAGTAATTTAAAAACGGTAGACACTGTGTGTTAAAAGGATTAAGTAACTAAATCCAAGTTGTTCCCTTTATACATATTACACAAAGTAAAACGTAATGTTAAAATGTGTCAGAATAAAATTCTATAGTGATTCTGGAAGAATTAAGAAAGCTGGAAAGTTATGTTTTGTTGTTACGTGGTATCAGATATTGCTATCAACCACTGCTTCACTCTTCAAGCCACAGTTTTACTACAAAAATCATGAGACCAACAGAAGATACTTTTGTTCCCTAACCAAAGCTGCAGACACTTCCTCTTTTTTCCTTTGACTGAATTTGACATTTTCACTAGAAATGTGTCCACTGAGGTAAGAAAGGGTTAAAGGTTTACAGAATGTTTCAGCTATGGAGCCGCTTCCCCTGCCAGTTTGTTCTGGCACCTCTGAAGCTGCAAGAAAACCCCAGGTTTTTTGTTTTGCCCTGCCCTATTCCAGGCCATATTTATCACAGCATGGTTCAGCTACTCCTACTTCCGTTGCATTTTATTGTTCTTCATTTTCCACTTTTTCTTCATCATTCTTTGTTTGCAGTAATTTCTCCTCAGCTTCTTTGCAGCCGCACCTTCATTTCTAGCAGGCTTAGCAGGATTGCCTTTTGTTTCCATAGCTACTGGCTTTCCCTCATAGGGTGTGTCAGACTGTCCTTTTGCCCCAGTCATCTAGACACAAATGAAGAAAGAAAAAGAAATACATCAAAAAAACCCCAAAGAAACTAGAATTAATAATCTTAAATCTGTCTTAAGCACAAGCATGTACAACTACCTTCAGCGAACTGCCTTCTCCTCCTTGTCATTCCAGCCAGGCCCAGAGGCCACACTTTCTCTTCCTGCCACCTTTCTTGCCTATGTGCCTGGATTTCCTCTGGCAGAAACTGAAGTTTATGAGGTCATGAGGAACTCTATTTTACCTCATATGAAGTCAGGATATGGCTAAAACATGTAAACTGGGGCTAAAAAGCATTTCATTGTCCACTAAGCTAGACATAGTTAGTATGTGGCTTTTACATAAATGTGTAAATCTATGCTGAAGAAAAATAATGCTTGAAAAACTTCTTACTTCTGAAGTGTTGTACTACCTGTTCATAATGCTAGAGCTGACAGTGGGATCCCTGGGAAATTTCCAAAGCATCACTTCTTCAGCAGCATAATTTACAAAGCAGGCTGTGTTGCTCAAAAATTTCCACAAAATTTCTATCAAAAGTTTCTTAAGATGCAGACAATTCATTCTTCTTCCCATCATAAATTCTATTTTATTAAAAACAACAGCAACAAAAACTGCTTATCTGCTTTTCTACCAAGAGAACTACTGACCTTCTGTTTCCACACGGCTTCTTGGGGTGCAGGTGGAAAGGTGCATGGAACTCTTCCATGACTGATGTGATAGGGTAAAGGGAGGCTAGGGTCTAGTGGCACCCATGGGACCGAAAGAGTGGCAGGTACAGTAGGCAGATCGCAATGAGCTTTATGTAAGTTATATGATGCTCTTGTTGTCTTATCAAGTGAACTCTTGTAAATTGCAACTGATGAATCTCCTGCAGCATGAGTCAATAAATAAGAGCCCTCCTGCAAACTAGAAAGATAAAAGTTCAAAATGAAAAATACTATTTAAATGTTTTTGTTTTGTTTAATTTGATCAGGATAGCTACTAAGTTCTCCATGCAAAAGAAACATCTTTAGATATTTACTTATCAGTCCCTGTTTTCTAAAAAGGCCATGGACAAAAAGCATGAATTAAACTGTATCAATAAATACATAGGGATTCATGTGTTTATAATGTGTTCATGATGTACTAATTTATCACCAATGTACATATTGCCATGATATTCAACAAAATAGTTAAGCATACAGTATAAACTACTCATATTTGGCAGACTAATCCTTTAACCAGCACCTTACAAAGCATAATGCATATGTGGACACAAAGCACAGGTGTGCTTTAAATGCACACAGGATTAAACAGGCTTTCTGGAATATAAATGTCAACTAACAGCCTGTATCAAAAATCTTAGCCCCAGTCACAAAGCTACGCAAATTCTGAAGTATGGGAAAACTCTTCTGTAGTTCAAATTAAGAGGCTTCATACACAGTGCAAGAAGCCTGCAGTCAGAAAGCCTTGAAGGAACTAAATACAGAAAGGAGCAAGAGAAAGGTTGCAACATTCTAGAAAGACGTACACTGTTGTAAGTCAAGTTGAGCAGAAGGGAACACAAACAGTATTATTTCTGCACATGAAGCAACAAGACTAACAAAACCTAGAAGTCCAAATTTTAAATGCTAGTCCACACACACAGTATTAAAGCTCACTCCTGTGAACTGTTTTATCAGCTCAGATGTGTCCAGTCTCTTTTCTTAAGTGGTTCAGAAAAATCAACTTCTTATTCTTTTTAGTAATTCATATAAAACATGCAATCCTAAGCACACTTTTTTTACACAGCACTGCATTATGCCAGAATCTGTAAAACATTTCATGTATCTGAAGAAATAAAAACCAAAGAGCAGACAAACATTCTACCAAAGAACTAGGATGTGCTAGGTAATGTTGCACACAAACACAATGAACAAGAATGGAGCACTTACTCAGACACTTTCTTCAAAATATGATGAAGTATATTCAGTGAATTTGCAGGCCTGTAAAACAGAAAACAATGACAAAAGTAGTAACCTGTGAGGCTTGTGAGAGTTTCAGATTCATTGGAAAACACCTACTAAAAATACTCACTTTATCAATTCAACTTTTTCCCTTAAAGTTTCTGGAGAAATCTTTTCTAGCATAATAAGCTTTGATGTAAAAGCATCAATACGGCCTGAAAAATATTTAATTGCATTAATACACTAAAAATAGAAGAGCAAAAATACAAAGCCATAATTTGCACTTTAAAAGGAATACACTTTAAAAGGAATAAAAACCTTTTGTTCTTTTACAGCACAGAACAGTGGAAAGCGTTTATGAGTGTTGCACAATATCAGAGAGTAAAATATCCAGCCACTTGCAGTACAGACATCTGTATCTGGGCTTTCTCAATAAGGGAGATGCCCATGATTCCAGCACATCTTACATCTTGGGGGATGTCTGGGATATTACAAGCTCATTTTGCCATTGACATCTTATCAGTTCATTCGTATCTTCTCAAGCTCTTTTGATCCTTATCACTATGGTTCCTCACTAGACAGATCATGGAAGTTCACCTTTTACAACAAATTGACTTCCAAGTATAATATACTTCTTTTTCTATTCTGATATTGGTTGAACAACTGTGTTATCTGATTTTCTGGGGACTCTGTACCTTCATCTCTTGGTTGTTTTTTTCCCCTCCTCACCTGAAAAAGGACAATTTACAATTCAGGCCTTGGTTCTGGCTAATTGTCACATACTGTTTGCCTGTGACATAGTCAGAAGCAGCAATTCAAAGCTCTCCTCATCACCTTTTTAAAATAAAGGCTCACAAGAACAGTTTAGCCCATGTTTTCACTTGATAAGTAATAAGAAGGTCATTAGCATAGCTTATGCACTGATGTGTGCCTTAGCTTCAGGTTCTACCTTATGATGTTGTTCCCCCAGAAATCTGTTCTATTCTAACTCCCACAAGGAGGATGAGGAAAAGGCAGCACAATAAAATGCAACCTCCTCAGTGGAATTTACTACTTTATTACAAATCTGCTCTTGTAGGAAGTGTAAATGCTTCAATTGTACAGTTCAAACTGCTAAATGAAAGCATTTCACATTCCAAGCTACACATTACTATCAACTTATGTGATGTGTAAGACGACCTAGCAAGAACTCTAATAAATCTGGAATTCAGTAGGACGACTAAATTATTTTGAGCACTGTACATTTGTTACTTTACTTGATATCAGTATTTGGTGCAAGACTAAGCAGCTACATTTAATATTCTTCATAGCTGACCAGAGGAAAAGAAACTTGAAGTCATTATTAAAATAATAATTAAAAAAATCTGTGCTCTTTGTTCCTTATCAGCCTCTCCTAAACCAGAAACTTTTAAATTTCTAAACTCACTGACAGCATAGCTGGGGAAACTAACTACTCATATCTAATTTATATTACTGTATTTTATAGTGGACAAGTGACTGATTGAAACACTCGACATTCAGTAAGTTACCAATATCAGTAAGTACTTCTTTCCAATCTTTAAATAATCTTTATTTCAAGGCCAGTATTATCCTAATCAAGTGAAGGTAAACTAGTCTTTCTGCAGTAAGTTTTGCTTAGGCGCTTAACGCAAGTAAGTAAATAATCATCGGGGTAAAATGTTCCTATTAATCAGTTAAGTTTATCACAACTTTATTTACTGCTTAGATCAAGTACCAGTATCATACTTGGGAAACGTCACAGAGATTACTTCTTTTGTAGAGGCAGGATTTCCTATCTGAGTAGCAAGGCGATTTATATCAGCAACTGAGCAAGGTGTGAGAAGGATATCACTCAAGTTTGTTTGATGATAACATCTCGGCCTTTGTGCAAACCACCACCACCTTCTTTGAGAATGTACTAAATAAAAAATTCAGTTTAAGATGACTCCTTGCACTTCCTGCAGGAGCCATCGTTACACTCCCATTTTCTTTCTCATCTCTTGAGCTAGCAGCACTGCTGAGTCACTGAGCTGAGCTGAGCTGAGCTATGAGATTCCTCCCTCAGCCACAGTGATACAACACTGAAGAGCAATGCTGGACAACTATGGGGCGCAGACTAAGGTCCAAAGAACTTCACATCCATACTTATTTGGCAATATAAGACTGTTGAGACAGTGAATCAAGTTTTTTCTTTTCAAGATCCAAGAACTCCTAAGCAATTTAACACTGAGGTCTGCTACATGCTCAGAACTTCCCATTTTAGAGGCTTCACTTAAGATCTATATAGTCTCAGAACTGTCTGAACACAAACGGCAAGTTGTAAGTACTGTTAGTAATGTTTTCAAACAGTTGATCAGTACTTTCACACTCATACTGTAGGCTATATTTAAAAAGAGCAGCAAGTCTGTGGCTCTACTGATTTTAAAAATCCTTTATTATAGGATGCAATATTTCACTTAAAATAATTAAAATTATAACACAATCCGACAAGTGAAGTTTGCCTGTCTGCTTACACCAAACATATGATAGCAGTAATCTCATTTCAGGTATCAGATCAGTGAAAAAGAAGTTGTCCACAATACAGGGATATTCTCACTTTTAAAGAATGGTCCCTGGAGTTTAGGGACAAACAAACAGCCATCTAACTAAATCAGGACACTTGCAACACTGTATTTTTCACAGCTCCCAGAAACACAACTGAAAGGCTGAATTTCACAACTACTTTGCATTATTTCTCAACCAGAGAAGGAAAAATCCCTGACTAGAATGACAACAGTTTCCTATTAAAAGCCATGGTGGATGGTATTTCATAAAACAGATCAATTAGTTCCACGTCTTTTTACCTACCTCTATTAGAAACTACATGGCAGTGCCAAAAATCTGCAGTCCCCAGTTTGCCTACCTGCATCAGTCACATACTCTGTCAGTATCAGAAGTTGGTGACATGCTGAGAGTCCAACTATTTGTAGCAGACTTTTTTAGCAGTAGTGGGAGGGGGCCTGCCCCACGCATACTGCACAGTACTGATTTACTGTACAGAACAGTGCCAACCCACAGCCATCCCACGTTTCCTCAGAGCACACAGAAGGAGAGCCCCTGTGGATCTCAGGGTTTGCTTCTGGAAGAAGCATGTCCAAGAGATAAAAACGTCACTGGAATGACCAGTGTTTCTCAATCCCACAGAAAGAGAATGCCTGTTGAAGGCCAGGCCAGTGAAGCCTGTCAGCCAAAGGCTCCACGTCCCTTTCACAGCCAGCAGGTATCTACTGAGGAAGCTCTGTATCAGAAGGGAATGTCTGTTTATGCTAGAACAACTCCTGCAGCATGCAGCCTGCCTCCTCCACTCCCCAGAGCCTCTATAAAAAGGGGTGTTTGCTGGATGAGCTGTCTGCAAACTTCTGCACACAAGCCATATGTTAAGTATCCTGTAACTGTTGGGAGATTAGATAAGACTTCGAATTCCTTCAGTTTGTGTACTTTGTAAGCAGATTAGCGCTCTCTCCAGTTTCACTATTTCCTCACACTGCTTGTGACTCATTTCTGTGCAATTCAGTACACTGTTGGGCTTGCTATTAAAGAGACAAATGCTTCAGTACTTCAGTACTGTCCGTTGAGATATAATTAGAAATACAGAACTGTGTACATTAGTATCAATTTATGATGATTTTTTTTAGGGAAGGAAAAAACCACAGCAAATGCTGCTTTTAAAATTTAAAAGTAGGAACAATTTCCACCAAATACGGACAGCAAAGATTAATGCAAGTGGCAAAACTATCACCTCAAATACATTAGATTTCACACAAACCTTAAAATACTAAAGGAGGCAAAAAAAAAAAAAATTAGGAAAGAGAAGACTCAGCATTTCTAAAACAGTATTCTGATGTGGGCCTCTAACAGCAAAAGTGTAATTGAGTGCCCAAGTGGAAAGGTTAGGCAACCACAGCCACAACTGCTGCCATAACAACCATAAAAAACAGTCCCCACTCAGAACACAGCTCTCCCTGTACAACAAGGGCTGCCCTCAGTCTGTAGCAAGGGCCAAATACACTCTAAAATACCTTCTGACTAACAACTTTGCTGCCGATTTTCTCATACAAGATAACTGGTATCAGAGAGCTCCCCATATATTAAAAGGGTTGTTAATATAATCTGGCAACATTCTTTAAATGCCTCATTTTAATTTCTCTACAGAACATATGTATCCTAACAGACATAAAAAACTTTCCGGACATTTAAAATGTCATTGCACAAACACATAGACAGCACTTCCCTCAGGACATTTTGTTAGTGAAACTTCCCTTGTAACGCTGCATTCCTAGCTTGCAGCATGGTTTATGTGAGCTTGGATAAATGGCCTTCACAAGTAAGATTTCTTTCTGATAACACTTCCATTTTATCCCTGCTTTACTGTCTTCTGTGCTCAAAATTGCAGCTGTCATCTCTTCTTTATGAGATCTGTAGTTTCCTGCTTATTTCTCACTGAACGTATGTTAATTCCCATTCCTAAATTCTATTACTTTGCCTCCTGTTTCCATCTGACGCATAATACAGGACTATCAAGACCATCCCTTTGACAGGGATGTTTCAAGTCATATCATGTATTAGGAAATTAAATTCACGTATCAGTTAGAAATGGACCATAGAAAACCTGGAAAATGTTTTTAAGTAAGATCATTCAGTGTTCAGAACTCCTGAGGAATATCACAGCTATGGAAAGATGTTTTCAATAAACTTATTCCTTGTCTTTTTCTTTTTCCTGTTTGGAATTTCATTTCTGCAGAGCCAGAAAATTATGTCCAGTACCTTAGACGTAAGACACATGTACACTGTTTTTAAAGCATGCAGTATCTCTTATTTCTGAACAATGGAACTTGGTTCAGCCCTATCTTGCTTGGTTTTCCTCATTCTTTTGAATCTTATCTGTCTGCATGTTATCAGTGTAGAAATATGAACACTATTGCCTGTTTTCAAAGACAAACAAGTAACATTTGACCTTTTTCCTATACTGCAACCTCAAAGGCCAAGGAATCAGTACCCTCTGAGCCACATACCCGATCCTCCGTCTGCTATTTTGGTATGTAATAACAAATGTATTTAAAGTGATTTCACAAAATGCTAAGATAAACTCATAGCTCAGATGTCATCAAGAAATATTTTTACTAGAGCTCTGATAATGTCGCGTATGAAGAAAATCCAGTACCAAAAACCCCTCCTCCCCAAGTCCAAAGATATTTTAAGTCATGAAGATTACTAACTTCAGAGACTAAATCTGCACTTTAGAGATACATTTGTCTTTGAAAGGCAAATAAATGGAGTTCCTGAAAACAAAGATTACTGAATGCTCCTCATCTAAATCCAACGTTGAAATAGCTTAATTCATCACCCAACAGAAATTTTAGACAAAGCGCTTCTAAGATAAAAGTGAAAACCAAAATTGGAAAGTTAAAATAAATAGGGACGTATGGAATACATCTTTAATAATTTTTCTCTTCTGTTATTCTGTGAATATTCACTCATACACATTTCTTAAGCAAAAACCAACACATGGAACTTACCAACATAAAATAAGCATTCAGAATGCAACATTCTTTCTGTCCACAACTGACATACTTCACTTTCTGTAAGAGCTTCAACACCGTAATAGGCTTGATACTCTAGTTTTGGCAACAAGAATATTGGTGTATGCTATAAAAGGGAAGATACAAGAAAAATCATCACTCACTGTCCAAAAACCATCCACAATTGAATTACATTTCACAGCTGACAATTAGCATAGTCTTCCATTACAGCTGAAGCAATAAAGCCAATCCCACAGATTTTGTGTGATGGCTCCCGCACAGTATAAACTTCCAACTACAGAGCATCTCTGTAGAGGAAGGTGAAATGCCTGGGCAAGCTTTTACACACAATCTAATTGTGCCATTCAGTCATTTTCCAGAAGTTAAATTTGAAGTTCACACTTGTGTGCTCCACTGCCCTCTGCAGGAATTACATAGGATCTACATTAATGTATTTCCATCTGCTTATTATTCCTGAAATCCTGCCATTTATTCCCCTTGTCAGAATATCATCTGAAATTAGAACCTAATGCTTGGCCTCTCATTTGAGCTCACAGGCCAATCTTTGCATGTTAACACAAACAGAGAAATGTAAGCCTCTTCTCACTGACAAATCACAGTTTAAATTCCAGAAGGGATTTAAAACCAAAACCAACCAACAATCAATTTCTGATTAACAACCTAAGCAGCTACTCACAGGCATTTATATCAGTGGATCAATAGCAAAGACACAGCTTTCCTTCAAAATAAGTTTCTGAGACAGAATCTCAGAAGTAATCCAAGTTATAAAGATCTATTTCCATTTCAACAGAACATAAACACGTCACAAAATGCCTGCCTACCACAGTTCTGGTATTCTGGGGATAGAAATACCGCATCAGATCTGTTGAATAATTCAGAGGACTCCTGACAAAATAATACATTACTGAGGATTCCAGAATGAGCTCTCCTTTTCCTGATGTTAGGAGTAATATTTGGATGATATCTGCATTTAAAGCATTTTACTCTGTACCAAAAACAACTTGCTAAGATGTACACCATGGTCTTTCCAAGCAGAATGAACAGGATCTCTTTTTATCTTTAAATGTGCCCCCTCTGTTGTTTATTCTATTTCCAATTTCTCTGCTTAACTAGGTATAACAGCAAGGCTGCCTCCTGCTTGAGAATCTTTATGATCACAAACATTCTCAAAGCCTCGGGCTAGAACCTTAATTACTGCATTAACTTTCAAGAATAGTTCAAACTGACATTAGTTTACATGAGTATAATTAGCCATGCATACTACTGTAATGCAGCTGTGGTACAAAATGCAGAATCAAACTTGCTTCTCTTCTAATCAAGTAGGTTTAAAGAAATCATAAATTATTCTTCCCTCTCTTCCTATAGCAAATATTTACTGAAAGAAGATACACACTGTAGTTACAATCAAATGTACTAATTGTCAGTGAGAGCACAAATGCCACGAAGGGCTGGGAATACCAGGGATGCCAGCTGAGCACAAGTGTTCAGAACAAACCCAACAAAGCTAACGGCAAAACCTGTACCTTTTGACCTTTTTTCTTCTTAGGGTTTCGTCGCAATGACTTCACTTTTTGCACGCTGCACCGTACAAGTAACAACAGATCATTCAGACTGAACAGCTTATACACAAGGTTGCCATCCTGAGGTGCTTTGTACTCTGAAGGGTCTTCCTCAAGCATCTGAAGTTCATTTGGCAGCTTTCCTACAGAAAATAAGAGAGAATTACAAACCTGTACATTCTTTACCATGAAGCTGACAGCTTTTCTGGTTGGTGTTTCTTTGGTTGGTTGGGGGTTTTTTGTGTGGGTTTCTGTTTGTTTGAGGTTTGTGGGTTTTTTTTTTTTTAATGGGATCTGTTTTGTTTCCTAAGATTTTGGGGTGAAAACAGTCTCAATAAGCCTAAGAAATAATTTTTGTATTAAAAACCCCATAATTTGGAAAATGTCTGCTATGACTTTTAAGGAGTCTGTTTTTAGATATCCTGCTATATTTTATCCTAATCATTTGATTTCTTACTCAAACCGGGCTGCGAGACTCCATTCTGGTACAAATGGGGCTCAAAGGCTGGTTTTTACGCCACAGCCACTTAGCACAAAGGAAAGAAAAATCTTATTTACAATGACTGCCTCCTGAGAGCCACCATCCATTTATCAGTTACTGAAATAACTCGAGCCTCAGGTTTGGACAACTGCATAAGCCTCTGTTCCAAACCAAGTTTGCTTCAACTTCAAAAGAAACATTTCTTAGATCTCCAAGCGCAGCTCTGAGGTAGGGTAACAAACATCCCTGCATCCCTTAAAGATATTTTAACAAATCATTTAAAATAAATGAGAATAAACTCCAACTTGTTTAACATTATTCATTGAAAATTTATCCAGTTCTGGTTTTTATCTGCACATATGTGTCAAAATTACTCCTACAAATAGGTATGGCTGTGGCACTATGAATAAATACACATATCATTAAATTCAGTATATATTCTTTCAAAGATGCACATAAACTCTGCATGAGATATAATCACCCAAGTGACCATAAATAATTTCCTGTGAGTTTTGGCTTTCTGCAAAAAAAAGACATGCAGAGAGGTTTATCAGCTTGCTATAGAAACCTTCAATTTGTAGAATTAAGCTTTCTATTCCTTTGCAGTCACACAGACTCTTAGCAATATTGCTTTCACTGCCTCTATAAAAAATAAAAACAACCAAAAAAAACCCAAAACCCCTATTATCTAACATCTGAATTCCATATTCTGGCTTTTTAAGAGAAAAAGGAACAGTACCATACTGCTCAACTGTTCCAACTGAGGGAGGACATATGGACTTTTAGTAACTACTAAAATTCAGTTAAGTCAGTAAGAATATTGGAAGTGGTCACACAACTTCAACTACAACAGAGTTAATTGTGCTGTTTCCATTACAGATCAAGTAATTAAGATTAATTCCTATGTGATGAAATGCACAGCTAGACAGAAAATACCAGCAAAATGCGTTTTTTCCATCAAAAAGCATTGATTCACTGGCATTAAGTATTTGAGAAAGAGTTTATCTCCTAATGAAGTCTGCCTGGTTTCCTGTCAATTTACCTAACACAATAAAGTGCTTCTAACTTCAGTTGTTCAGAGCTCAGAAGCAGCTCAGGCATGTGAGAAAAACCCTCACAGTTCATGGAACCTAGGATCTTCAAGACCTCTAGTTCTTGGTTGAAGTCTGGGTGTAGTGCAGGATCAATTTCCAGCTAAATGCCTGACAACACGGCAAGGTGGTCTGAAGTGAGTCCTCATTAGTCTCCTGGAACAGACAACGAGGAGCTAAGAAACAGCAACTGAATTAAGAGTCTCAGAACTTGAAACATGCAAATTTCAAGCTTTCTCTCAAGTTTTAATTGCATAATTTGATTAAACTGTTCTTCTACAGAAAATGTACAATAATTCCACTGCTGACAACAAACTATCTTTTCAGACCAGACTACTCAAATTTTTGAATTTCTGATGAAAAGTAACTCAGTTTACTACCAAATTGTTTTGTTTCCTTACATAAAAACTTATGTAAACCAACCTAAAAACACCCAAACAATTATGTCACATCTCTAAATAAATGTAACAGAGGTACTAGCAGGATGCTCTTCAAATGATGGAGTTAAAATGTTTTGCTGTTAAACTTTACCGAAAATTTGAGATTTTACTCCTTACACAATGAGCACACTTACTTACTCTTTGGCAGCCCCTGAAAAAGCCAAGTCCAGGTACTTCTAGATGAGCTGTTGAGGTCCGAGGCAGGGGCTGGCAGAGTTTCTGTGCTGGAGGTCACCAGTGGTTTTGGAGATTGAGGCACATGGGCTGGCACAGCATTAGAGTTATCACAGCTCACCACCGGCTGTTCATGAGCTTTTCGGGAAGGTGATTTGAGAAGTTCAGTTTGCATTTTCAAGATCTGTCCAACAGGATCAAATTCTTTGGAGAACTTTCTTGTAGCACTCCTCGAGGTACTTTTTCCCTGATTTATGGTATCTGAGAGATCAGCCATGTTTGCTAATGGAATCTGGGTAGGGGAGGGTGATTTGGCAGCCTCTGCTGAGGTATGAGAAACAGTGTCTGGCACAGTTGTTTTGCAACAATCAGTGTTTCCACATTCTGTATCAATTATCAAACACTCTTCGTCTGTGTCACTACTGCACAAAGAAGTGCGAGTCTCATTTTTGTGTGCAGTATCAGACTCTTTCTTGTAACTAACAGCATTAGCTAGAGTATTCAGTTTTGTTTCACAGTCCAATACTTCTTTGGTCATAACATGCTGTGCTTTGTTCAGTCCTAGCTCCTCTGAGTTAAAGCTTTTATGAGATGAATTTTCGTCAAGGCCCAAGCATACAATGCCATCTAATGACGGGAGCTGTGTGCTGGCACATGCTGAAACTCCTTGCTCAGAAACTTTAGCAGTGTTACTAACTGTAGGAAAACTGCTTTCCATTTTAGAAGTTTTTGAGAGCTTGACTGTTGCTCCAAAGGTTTCCAGTTCTGTAACGTCACCATCAAAGTCCATCCCTGTGTCATCTGGAAGAGGAATCTTCCTGTACTGGTAAGTATCTGAAGGCATCTTAAGATAGGGAGGGATAAATAACAATAATACTAATGTTAAACAAAAAATATAATAATAATATTAAACAAAGAAAACAAGAAATACAATGTATTACAAATGAGACACTGTCACACTGAAAACGTGAAAAATGTTCCACTATCCATATTTTGACTATTGGGAGAGAGAAGAGAAGCAGTAATTGGGAGGGAGGGGGAAAATTCGTAAGTTTAATGTGGAATATCCTAAGTCCTAGGAGCTGAAAGGCCCTTCAAAAGACAAATAAAGTACACAGAACTTTTCCCACTTAAATAAACTGATCAAAACACATTTTAATGAAGTGAACATTAAAGCTGAGATGCTGATATAACAGAAGCATTTAAAGGAACTAGACAGACATTTTAAAACAGGATCTGTAACTCAGCGGTAGAAAACTACCAACAGGAAACCTAATATTTCCTTCATTATCACAGAACAAGTAACTAAGGAATTGTAACACAGGCTTTTGGTTTTGTTTGTTTTCAACAAGAGGTGAAGCTACATACATCCCACTGAAACAGGTTGTCTTCAGCTGGTTTGTCCATCGATACATCAGAAATTGAAACGTAAGACTTTTTAGTTGCTAGGAAGTCCATAGGAATTTCATGGAAGATCTGGTTCCTCTCTCTTACTGCCATTTCTTTTCTCAGCAGAGGTGAATCAACATAAACCACTTTAGCTGATTTGCTACCTTTTCAAGAACAGGAAGAGATTAAGTACATACTAAATGAAAGGAAAAAAGACTGGTGTAAAGTTTAAATACACAAAACAACCTTTCAGTTATGGTCAAATCAGTTCCACATTCATAGTGGAGGAAATGAAAAACCACCCTCTTGCTCACTAGCAATAGAAAATAAAATTATATCCAGGGACAGTGTGAATTATTAGGATCCTGCAGCAGCAATAAACAGCACATTAACAGTCAATCATATTTTAAATGCAGTTCTAAATAGAGAACTTGTAAAATGATAATTTAGAATGCATCATTCCTTATACTGCATTGTATCATCAGATGTATTCTGTTTTCCTAAAAGTTTTTTTTTCTTCCTTTGATGAACCTCAATTTTATTTATTGATTTAGGTCCCACTGCCCAAAAGTGATTACCATATTTTATAGTTGTTCTATGTCCAGCCTCTGCTGCCCCAATCTTTTGTTTAGTCCTTAACACATTTAATTTTGAATCATCCACAGATTGATCCACAAATAATGATATCCTGCCCAGTATTATACAGAAAGCAAAGGCATATGTGAACATTGGATCACTGTTTTAGAAAAAGAGTAATCTGTGGATGCAACAAGATACAATTAATGCAAGAAGCACGTTACAGGGAAAGTGGAAGAAGAGAAACACTTCAAGAAATGCTACGCATTATTAACATATTCTGAATGCTCTTTAGGTATTAACTTTGTATCTAAAGAAACTGTAAAGTTGATAGAGCATATCTTTAAGGATAATTGCATGTAGAAAAGTGCAAAATTTGTAAGATCTGTAGATACCTGACAGTGTATATACTACTAGTCCTGCTATACAATTTCATGTGACATGCACACAATGTGGACATTCCAAGACAACAGCTATTATAAATACTCATTGTGAAAAAAAACCTAGTGTATGTAACAAAAAAAAACAAACAACAAGGGGTAACAAGAGGAAATCTATATTCAGATTCCTGATGGAGTATTTGACAACTAAAGTGTAGCATTCAGATGAGTTAATCAGCTTATTCAAAACATTTCCTGCTGCAATTGGGAGAAGCAATCTCCATGGACATTCATTATTTATTCATTATTCTAGAATGTAATTAGGTCCTTTCAATTACAGAAAATGTCTGCCCTTTGTTTTTCCATAAAACCTCAGAATTTCTCTTTTTTAGCTTACTGAAATCAGTTCAGTTGATAACAGCTTCAAGCAGTTGTGTTCTTTTCAAGGAGCAGAGCTCAAGGTTTTGAAAAGCAAAAGGGTATTGAACTGATTTTTTTCCTCCCTAAATGGAAAATAACTGTATGTCCAAATTCAATGTTAATGTAGAGATGATACCCCTAGAGATTGTTGCTACTTTCAGTAACAGGGTGCAGAAAACTATGAAATTACCTTGCTATCAGGCCTCCTCAGCAAAGGGCAAGATATACCAATGGGGTTTTTCATTTTTTTTATGCTAACTTTGATTAAACATGTTTCTTTACAACACAGAGGTCCCTGACTCCTTACCAAAAAAGAGCTGAAAACTTTAGGTTGTTGTTCTTAAAGATGTGTTAACTAAATTGTTCAAACTATATTACTTTAATTCCTTAAATTAAAAACATGGAAGTACTTGAAAGAAACTATTTTCTTACAGCTGCATTTTAGAGTGCTTCTGCTTCAGAAAAGGTAAAACATCTGAGCTTATAATTATAATTCTCATTTTCATTAACCTCAGCTTCTTTCTTTTGAAAATCAAACCAAAATTGAACTATTTATTATTGCATTAACTAAACCAGCCTACCTTTGACCTTCCCACACCTCCCCAGCCCTGTTGGTTTTACTGGATTTTCTAGCTTCCTGCTCTTCAGTCTGCTTGAAAACGATTAAGAGAATATATAAAGATCTTAAAGGGCAAAACCATAATTTTTTTAGCAAAAACATACTATACCTGCAACAGGGATCCTTTTAACGCAAACTGGAATTTCCCATTGCTCCTTGTAGTTCTGTCCATGATTATTCAGTAAAGTAAATAACGATTGATTACTTAAAACAACTTGAGGAGAGTATTTCAAAGCAAGTTTTTCTGCATTTGAATCTGAACTAATATCCTAAACAGAACAGATTTAAGATTTTTAAGCTTTTAATAAAACCACAAAAATTTAAATACTTAAGAAAAAGCCCAAGCCCAAACAAACATGGATTAAACACCCAATACCATCCTCCCCCAAAACACCAACACAGTGCCAGGCTTCAGAGCCAAATGAAAAGGCAGCTAACTCCCCTGAAGGTTTCTGGCTTAATCTTATGCATCCACCTTGCAGCAGGAGAAAATATGTCCTCTTAACTTGTATTTTTCAGTTCATTCCTATTACTTTGAATTAGTAGGTTCATGATCACAAAATATGGGAGTACATTGCAAAAGAAAAACAAAAAACAGCTTTACACGCACATGTATTACGGATCTTCTCACAAGTAATAGCACAATGAACACATCCACCATTATAGTTAAAACTGTACAGTTGTGTCATTACGGATATATAAGGTATCTTAGAACAAATATAAACCCACATAGATGACAAATTCAGAGTTGAAATGATAAAGTTATTAAATATTATGAGTACAAATTTCCAGGAAGTGAGGAGGCAGGGAATATTCACGAGGTGGGAAAATGTCAAGAAGATAACAGAAGCCCAGGAGCACTGAGGACCGTAAGAGAGAAATAAGAAAAAACTAGCCATGTTCTTTTTTCTGCCACCTGAGACATCATCAGATATATTCTCTGTTTATAGATAAAACATCTCTCTAGCCACGTATCATTCTGCCGTATCACCTCTGCAACTTTCTTCAGCAAGAAGTGTCTCTGCAACCACAGTGGCTCTGTTGAAAGTTTGGGTTTTGAGATGTGAACAAACTCCATAAATTAGTGGATAAAAAATTATTGGCAATAAATAGTCACATAAAACCAAGTTCTACAGAATGAAAACCTCATTGATTTTCTCTGTGGAAGAAAACACAAGGTGGACTGGAATATAAAAGTTGTTCAACTCAGAAATTAAGTTTATGCTGTTTAGCAAAAGAAATTCCCAAGGTAACCTAACCTAATCACCTTTTCAGAAAACTTGACAGTCCAAAATAGTTCTTCTTACCCTCAGGACTTCTTTCTTGTGTCAGAAACCTTCATACCTCCATGCATTCATATGTGTCTATAGACACATACACACAGAAGCCAGCTTAGAAATTGCAAGGCGAAGTTTAAGAGGAACAATACTGTAACGAACAGTTACCTCTAGGTGTCACAGACAGTGTGTTCCTATTTAAGGACCTCTGTAATGTTTAATTGAGGGAACAGAAGAATCCTTTCAAGAGGGTCCAAAAGGCTACAACCCAACTTTTGAAGAGGGCACTGTGATTGCTGTAAACAAAAATTTAAACAAATACTTATACAGTGTATGTTGTTATGCTACAAGACATGCAAAATTAGGGGAAAAAAACCCAACCCTAACAAAAAAAAAAAAACTGAAGAAACTTGATGCTGCTACATAAGAAGGACCACACTGCTCTTCTCTACAAAATATGCCTTAAAAATGACAATAAAAAGGTTACTTACATTGTGCATAATAGAAGCCTTTTTTTCTGGAGTTATAATACCTGTAACAGTTTCATAATCTGTAGGCAGCTGAACAGGCATGGTAGGGAAATCTGTTTTACCACGTCTTGCCGTTCCCTTAAAGAAATCAAGCAGTATCAGAAAGCAGCTTTAACTGAAATCATGCTGACCCAGCACTGCACTTCTTAAAATGAAAAATATTAAGAATTTATGCAGGTGCATTATAAAGTTAGTGTTATATAAAAAAAGCCCCACTATTAATGTAATTTTTTAATTGGAAACAGACAGTGAAGGGTGTTAACAGCCTTACTACCAAAATAGGGGCCTCTAAGAAAGATGGGGAAAGACTTTTCAGCAGTGTTTGTCAAGATAAGGTAAGGGGTGATGGTTTCAAACTAAAAATGTTGTGAGGCTGGATGTGAGGAAAAAATTCTTTACAATGAGGGTCACAAAACACTGGCACAGGTTGCCCAGAGAGGTGGTGGCTGCACCATCCCCAGAGACATTCAAGGCCAAGTTGGATGCGGTTCTGAGCAACCTGATCTAGTTGAAGATGTCCCAGCTCACTGCAGGAGGGCTGGACTAGATGACCCTTGAAGGTACCTTCCAACCCAAACTAGTCTACAATTCTAGGAAAATAATTGCAGTAATATTTTCATTAACAATTTCAGTATAAAATATAACCCTTAACTCAAGGACCAAATACTTCTAAAAAACCCCGAATACTTGAGTAACACAATCCAGATGTAATTCTACTTATTTGAAAAGAACATCAAAACAAAACTTCTAGCCATGATATTACCATTACAAGAAGATTTTTTTCCAGCCTAAGCGTCAACTGAGTATGAAACTTTCCTCCCATGATGCTTATGATCTCCTGAAGCGTGTAAGATTCAGGATGCGTTTGCACATGTCCAATACAAGCACGCAGTAATTCCTAACATAAAAGAAAAAAGTTTATGCAATTGTATTTTTCATAAGAATCCATTTAAGTTTTTTTCTGCAATTGCAACTTGCATTTGCATATACTTTCTGTACAGAACACAGATATATTTATCAGATTACTCATAGCAGACTTGTTCAACTTTTCCAGTTAGAGACAGTATTTAAAAAACTTAAATACCAGTACAATTCAATAATAATTTTAAAATCACTGGTATCAAAACTGAAACATATTCTAAGTTCTCCTCAACCCTTCCCAGGCAAGGCTAACAATGCACGGACACAGACTCACACCCATCATTAAAAACAACCAAGAAAATGTTCAGCACTGTGCTAACCAGGTAATTGTTTTCTTTTCAGTTTGTCTTGGCTTTTAGAGGGAGCAGGTATTTTTGTGTTACTACATAGATTACATCAGGTGTAGGTAAAAGTCACAAAGGTAAACACGTATGTGTTGAAACTTGATTTTATGTCACCTTTAGACATTAAATCATGTCTAAAGACAATATTTTCTGTTATTTTAATTATGTATTTAAAGCATTTAGGTTTTATTTAGTAATTAGAATGAGTTTTTTCTGCAAGTACTGTTTAAAACTAAATACATGCCTCTTTCATTTTGAACTCAGGAGATCAACTTCAACTTTGGAGACACATTCTGTGACCAGATGACAAAACCACTTTGAAAAACAGGCAGAAGATATAAAATTACAAAGCCAAACCAAATTTTTAGGAAAAAAGCATGATTTTTGTGGTTCACACATAAGGACTGTACGTTAACAACAAAGTTATCTTGGGCATGAAAAAGCATGTAACAAAAAGTGTTAGGGTGAAATAGAAACAGTCTTTCTGAATTTAACTAAATGCTTTACTCTCTAGTTAACATTTATTTTTTTCATACTGTAAAAGAAAGTGATGTGGCACCTACTACTAAAGACTGAATTTTAACAAAAGTATTTAAGTTGGCCATTTCAACTAAGGCAAGAGACTATGAGGAAAAGAAGCAAGAGCAAGTGAACCCACTGATAAGAAAGTTTAATGAACATGTACCCTGGAATTCTTTTCCCAGAATGCGCAATTAAGCCAAGAATGATGTATGAAATTGCATTCATGTTTGATTATAGAATCATCAAAGCAGGTATTTATAACACAGCATGAGCCTGTAGAAATAGATTATAATTAAAGCCTGAGTAACCTCTGATTAAAAAGTGACTTTGTAACATGCTACTGCGCTTCAGGAAAGCTTAACGTTCTGTCCAGTAGTGTACATTTAGGAGCAGCTTGTTTATGTAAATGCACACTTCTGATGCAGTTTCTCCCTTTCCAAACGTAAAGATGCCATTTACTTAACTGATGACTAAATCTTTGTCAGTATTCAGAGACCTCATTTATATTGTATGTTATTGGTACAACAAACTGTGGGACAAGCCATGTTGCACAGCATCAAGGAAATGGTGACTTCTCATGTTTCATACCAACATGGAATCAGCAGAAGTTCAGGAAACATCAGATCCCATGAGCAGTGGCTATGTATCTTAATTTCAGTTTCAAAATGATTATGTAAGAAGAGAAGGAATTAAACACAGTATTTGTAGTTACCTCCGTATAACGTTGTGCATCCTCGGAGATAGTATCATAGTCTTGGGCGCAGCTTTTTGCAGCATTTTGGGCAAATTTCATAAATTCTGCAATTTCACTGTTTACTACTTCTTTCATTTGCTGGGGGGAGAAAGAAAAAAATCTGTTTTTTAAGACAGAAGGGAATCCCATAGGCAGGTATGTAACCAGCAAAACTTCCAGAGAGGTAGTACAGGTGATGGTATGAGGGAGGGCACAAATTCCACTTGCTCCTCAATTTGGCAAGTCTTTGCATATGTTCAGAGTTTCACTTAAGTAACAAAATAAAATTTGTAAGGCCCATTTCCTTACAAAAAAAAATAAAAATAACCCCAAACCAACAAAACAGGACCCCAGCAAACAGCAAGCTTCCTTTGGTCATACACTGGTGGTTTATAAAAAGAAAGGTTACAAAACATTGTTGGGGAAAGTTTACATGATAAAGCCACAAAGAAATTCAAGCATCGACTTCATAAGCAATGACATGTTAAGTAACACCATAGTAGGTGCTGATTTGCCCAAGAACGACATTCCCATTGTTACAGCATAAAATAAAGGAATTGGCATTAACAAGGAAGCATGGGAAGCCAAATGCATTGGCTTAAAAACATTTGCTGATTAATTACATTATACAGGATTGAACTAAAATGATACTTCATATCAACAAGAGACATAGCCTTCCACTACTTATATATTGCTGAAACTAAACAGCAAATGTGACCCTGTGCCTTTCTACTCCCAGAAGCACTGATGTGGCAAGCATAGATGGTCAATGCACAGGTCCCCTCACATGCTAATGAAGAAAGTTCCTATTACAGGGTACCATCAAAGATTACATCAAAATGTATCCATCTCCTAACATTATAAAAAGGTGCTACATGACATTATGAAATGCTAAACTCACAGTAAAGTCAACTCTTAACTTTCTTCTCATAAAAAAAGTGGGGTTTTTCGGGGGTGTTGATCAGCTATCAAAGATCTACACTTAACCATCAGTTGCTTAGACTATTACTACTAAAAAATATGTAGAAAAACCCACCTCCCTTCAATGAACTAACCAAAACTTCTTTCAATTAATATTAAAAATGTTACCCTGAATACTTTTAACCTTTATTATTATTATTACTACTGTTATTATTCATAATACTACATTAAAAGGTAATTATGACAAATTAAATTTAAAAATATTTCTGCTATGTTTTCTTTAAGTCTTTGTAACAAAAGAAAAAGGGATGACTCCCTCTGTGGTGTTCACATTTACACACTTACCAGATACGTGAATAATTCTCTCTGACTTGTTGCATTAACTTGAAAATGTTTTGGGTTTTTTGAGTACTTAGTCATCAGATACAGGTATGTTTTCTGCTCCTTCTGAGTCAAAGAAGAGGTAAACGGATAGGGGAGTCTAGGTTCTGGAAAAGGATGATCATCAGTTGCGGTTTTATCCTCCACCTCAAGTGGCTCTGCAGCCTGTGCACTACAGTTCCTTTTGTTTTCTGAAGAGTTTGCCAATGCCTCTTCATTTCTCTTTGCCTCTCTGAAAGTGAAGTAGTAAATAAAAGACTGTACACTTTTCACATTTGCTATGTCAAAATATTTGCTAATAACACATTTGTTACAATTAATAAAGGCAGTCATGCAAGCCTAATCTGCAAATCCAGCAAAACGCAGTGTGAGATAGTGTACTATTCCAGTTCCTAGTCTGTGTCATAGGAATTTTATTATTCTGAAATTCCACCTGGACAACCAGACCAACCCTGACTGCCAACAGAAGATTTGAAAGAGAGAAAAACAAAAAAAGTAATGTTTTTTATAAAATGGTGTATGTATTTGTCTGTATACTCACTACTGAGGTGACAAGCTAAATATGAAACTCTCACTCTTTGTTCTAGAAACAGCCATTATTAATGAAAACATACAGAGTCTCCACATTTCACCATTCGCTGATGGCTGGTGCTCAGAAACAGTTCAGAAAGGTCTTGCTTATGTATCAAAGTTACAGTAAAGAAGAACAACTTAACTAGAAAAAGCCTTTCTTTCACTGTAAAAGAAGTAAATTAAAAATGCTTAACTGTAACACTGACATTCTGGATTTAAAGGAAAAAATTCCTAAAAAACAGAGTACACAATTCAAGAGTTTCATTTTCTACTGTAAACAATGCTGAAATCAGCGGCCAAAATAATAATACTGGCCTAAGGCAAGGAGTGTAGCTGTCCTAACAGCAAAGAAGTAACATCATTTATTTGATTATTAATAAAATTCCAGTATATGAAGGCCATCTTAGTGCTTCTCTATTTAAAATGACTGTTCTTAAGAGAGAAAAATACTTACGGTTAACAAAATGAGCATTAACTGCTGATCTTGGAAAAAGCCTATTTTTAAGATACGATTTCAGCAGTAGAAAACATCTCCAGTGCCATTCAAACCCAGCAGTATCACATCTTCAGTTCTTAATAACACTTCACAGCTGTCTCTCTGAATACGAGAATGTGTCCATCCTCATGGCACAAACTGGCAAATTTGATTAAGCTGCAGCAGTGACAAGATGCTGACTCAGATATACCAATGTAGGAACATCAAGAAATTCTAGCAGCTTAAATTGGCTATATTCAGCACTGAATGAAATGGCAGCACATCAAGATCATTTCAGTACGCAATGCTGTCACAGTCTTCACCAGGGTGCAAGCCAAAATAATCTTACAGAGCTTTTCTGTCCATATTTACAGCATTATACTTCATTTGAGCCACCAGCTTGAATTTTCCCCCTTCATTGTAGAAGCAACCTGCCATCACAGCTTCTATGGTGATAGATATTTCCTGAAATGTACATTTCTCTCAAAACCCCCAATATAGAAATGGACAAATTTCCTTGAGCTTATACTTTCACATTTTGCCCCATTAGGTTCCATTTCTCTTCGCCAAGAGTACAGCAACACAACCCTGCTCCATTAGTTTCTGAATTTTTCTGTTTGCAGCCTCTCTTCTGGCTATAAACCCATTTCTACCACATAAAACTAAATACAATGCTGCTCTTGAGTTCAGCCATGTCTACTGCAGAAACCCTTTTCCCACATCATCTAAAGGAAGAGGTCCCACAGCAGCAACAGCAAGCTGAGAGGGTGGGCTGTGATCTTCTTTGCCAGTTTAAAGAAAGTTGCTCCAAGAGAGACGAACTGGAAAAACCTTCTCTAGCTAAAGTTGTGGGATCCAGTCTCATGTGTTGCACAAAGGTATTCCCCCCAAATGGACATTTCTAAATGTCAGTTCATATACAAAAATTCCCCTTCAGAACAATTTTTCCACATACTGAGCTCCCCACTTAGAGCACAGTAGCTACCTTTGTCTCCATCCATACTCTTTGTGGTGGTTCATCCGCCATGAGACCCTTGACACTTGTACATCTCTACCAGATTAATGACTTCTTGAAAAGCCAGTAGGCTGAACAGTCCTCCAACTTCTGAAAGGCAGCTTTTCTCTATGTGAAACAAATGCTGACTCCAACTCCAGAAAAATAAATACATCAGAACTGCCTGTGCCTACTGTGTTCACGCAATTTCATTTCCATTCTTCAACTAACACTCTACACCATCTCTTCATTACTCAAGAAATTAGCTGCATCTCCACTGTACCTAAGGCAGTGTTGAGTGTTTAGAGTGCTGGCTAATTCCAAAAGATACAAGTAAAAAGAATTTCAATGTACACTATTATCAGCCTACTACTAAGTGAGAAAACACAGACAGACAGCAAAATATTAATTTTGAAAAAAGAATCAGGGCTGGTTCATGGGTTACAGGATCCTTACCCTGACCTTAGAAGTGTGCATCAAACTTCACTCCTCGTTGGTCCGTAAGCAGCAACATGCACCACCCCCAAAAAACAACCCAAACCCCATTCCAAGACCCCCCTTACCACCTGTTCCCACAGAAGACTCAAGGTCCCAACCCAGATTCTTCCTGCTTTCTGGGGTTTCACAACAGGTACGCATTCATGGCTGGACCAAGGTGTCAGTAACACATCCTGGCACGTCAGATAACATGCAGCTTTCCCCCCTAACAGTAACAGTGTGTATTATTTGGATGACAACAAACAGCACAAAATGATAATATACCAGAATATACCTGTTTGATAAATGCCATAATTCAGTGAGGCTCGGAGCCAATGAGTATTTTTCATAAATTTCATGTGAGAAAAACACTTCACTGCCATTTTTTGGTGAAATATCCCTGAAAATGAAACAAAAACAAAATCCAAGAACACTGCAATGCACAAAACAATTACAGACCCACGTGTTCCTGAGAAACAAAGATCAGAATTAGGTATTAAAAAAGTAAAGGAAAAAAAGCTATCATCTTTCCACATACCCTCTATATGGAAGTTACCTAATTCCCTACTAAAACCCATGTATTCTTCACAGTCCAAAAGCAACAATTTCATTATAAATACTAGATATAAATGCTAGATCTGGCGAGAGGAATTCTGATGGAGATACAATGCTTTCAGGTGCTCATTAATCAAAACCAAACATTGGGCTGAACTTCTGTGACAACAGCATTGTTTTCAAATTTTCAGAAAGGCGAAAAACTTTGTCTTCTACAGAGACCTTACTAATTGTTTTAAATACAGCCCTTCCAGTGTACAGGATTTACACGATGCCAGTCTTCCCAAACTATTCTGAAAGGTGTAAGGAAAGATTTGTCTTCCTCATGAATAAACTAACTCAAAACCAACTCACTTCTCTAGGCTTAAACAGCCAAACTACTATAGGAAAAGCCTGTGCAGGGCTTTTCGTATTAAAACCACAACAACGTCGCAACCCCAACCCCATACTGTGGGTACGCATTACTTAACCACCTCTCATTTCAGACCGTCCATAAGCGTGCAAGCCAAGCCTCCTCATGGAAAGAACGGACACTTCTACTGCCCCTCAGCGCAAGACACACAGACCTCCTTCCCGCCCTCCCTCAGCGACGAGGCGGAGCCAGCCGGGCGCATGCGGGTTGCCGTGGGGCGTTCTCCCGGAGGGCAGCGCGGGACGAGGGGCAGCCTGTCCCGGGCCCTGCTCTTCAGCGGCGCCCCGCAGGGTTAGGGCCGAAGGGGCAAACGTACTCACCAGGTCAGCAGCTGCGCTTTAGCCGCCATGTTGGCGGAGTAATTGCCGGGTCCTCAGCCCTCTCCCGCGCGAGCTTGCCTCACTGCACTGGCCAATCAGCGCAGAGAGCTCGCGGGATCAGGTGTCCTCAGCCAGCCAATGGCAACGCGGGATCGAGCCGCTGCTGCTGAGAGGCTGCGGCGGCCATCTTGTGGCAGGCGGTAGCCGTGGTGGGTGGTCCGTGCCGGTGCCGGACCCGGCCGCGTCCGGTCTCTTCTTGCCGGGAGGTGAGCGTGCCTGGGGCCTTTCCGCGCTGTGGGCTCCGCTCCGACCTCACGTTCTTCGCTAAGGTGTTCCCTGACCAGGTGTTTGGTGCCTCGAGAGGCAGTTCGTACCTTGGGTGTGCCGGGTGGCTTCTCCCTCAGGGGCGCTGGGCCGTGCGTGAGAGGGCTGACGTGCCCCGCGGAGGTCGCTGCCTTTGTCAGCTTCCCTCCTCTCCTGAGCTTCCCGTCTGGCTGCCTAACTGTAGGCAGAGCCCCAACCCCGTAACTGATGATCAGGCTTCCCAGTGTGGTGAAATGTGGAATTCAAATATTCTCGGTAGGTTTGGGTGACGGAAACTCACGCGTGTTACAGGAAAAGGTGATTCCCTGCACATGTCCATAGTTGGAACATTAAGAGGGAAGTTGAGTGGCATGAAGTGATCAAAGCATTCACAGCACCTAATCTGGCAACAAACTCTGGGCATTATATACAAATACATAAAAGATACTGAGATGATTCAGAATGCCATCTAAACCCACCCGCAAAGGTTGCTTGCAGATCAGTTTTAAGGACATTGTTTTGATGTAAATTCTGGACTTTTTTGGTTTGTGTATCTCTTGAGAAGTGGAAGGATTTATCCTTGTTGGATCCACTCCAGTTCTGGAAGTATCATTGTATAGAGCAATCTTCAAAACTGCTGCTACGTAGGGTAGCCGTTATGTAGCCTAAAGATTAGAAGACTGGTTTTGAATGTGTCAGGTTAAGTCCTACTTCAGCCTGCATATCTCTCTTTTAATGGTGCTGCTTCCCAGATGTGATCCCTTTAGTTCCATGACATAAACATGAACATCAGGAAACACTTTTTCATTATGATGGTAATCGAGCACTGGCACAGGTTGCCCAGGGAAGTTGTGGAGTTGCCATCATTGGAGGATAACTCAAAAGCTGTCTGAATATGGTTCTGAGCAAGTGGCTGTAGGTGGCCCTGCTTGTGGCCTCTGGAGGTCCCTGCCAACCTCAGCCATTCTGTGAAATAGTCAGGGGTCCAAACTGCCACCTCCTAACCTGCAGTTTAGTTTTCTTTAAGGGTGGCCATGGGAGCCCTCTGTTTGTCTCCTGCATTTTACACTGAACATGAATAGTTGTTGCCTAACCTGTATCTTGGTGATTAGAATCTCACCTTTGAGTAGAAAGATTGGGCAGGAATGATGTCCAGAGGATGAGAAAAATGAACTTGGATTTTCGTGTCTCAGAGACTGCTTTAGTCATGGAGCTGCTGTAGAACTAACTTCTGTAGCATTACTTGATGCTACAGTTCTAAGAACACAAACATTTCCACTATTGTTTGGGGGTTTTTTTTGTATGTATGATCTGTAGGTGAAGGCTGCTCCCAGATACAGGGCTTCAAAGATTAATGTCAATAGGTATTTCTGGATCATGGACAGGCATATAAATACTGAGCTGTTCAAACTCTGTCAAGATGGAAACATTTCTGGGTAGGTGCAAAAGTAGAATCTTTCATGTCTGAAGAATTAAGTTTGCTGCTGACATTCGGGTGCTCCCAAAGTTAGCACAGCAGAGGGGAGTTGCCACTTTGAATTTTGATGCCTAAGTTGTATTAAAACCTCAATTTTGATACCCAGATCCTGATTTAGAGCTAACCCATAGCGCTATTTCCAGAGTCACTGGGAGGGCCTTAAGCCAGGCTTCTTCTGTCTTGTACTCTGCACTGAACTGTGATTTCTAACAGGAAGACACCTTTAAGGACAGGGAAGCTAGACTGATCCACACTCCCTGCGAGGAACTGTAAAATGCTTGTTGGCCAAAATGGGAGCTTACATGGTGCTTGGGAATTGTCTTGTTTCCCTGCTGCCAAACATTATGTGATGTATGTCCTGAAGAGCTCTACGTGCTTGGTAGCATAGCCTAATTTTGTAACTGTTCATTCCTTAAGGAATAAGCCTGAGAAACTACAATTTGGAAAACCAAACCAGATGCTACTGACAAAAAATTAAGACAGATTTTTTTTCCATTAGAAGCTGAAGTTTTATTACAGGATAACAGTACATAAAGCACATCTAAAATCGATGTGTTCAATGCACTTAATAAAGGTAATGTAATATTAAAGGTACAGTTTCTAAGTACAATGTAACAACATTCATATTAGAATGAAAATTGGAGTATTTAAAAGACAACATTAAATCTCTTATTTTTACAGTCATATTTACAAAATGAATCAAAATACTTTTTTCGGGACTGAGTAAAATAACAAACTTGAATATAAGCAGGTTATTGTAGGAGTGAGTTGGACAGGTCCATGAAAGTGAGAAGTGAAGTGACTGGGTAAAGATCATTAGCAAAGGTTTAGTACAATACCACTTTAGTATTCCTCTTGATGGCTTCGATTTTATGTGGCTAAAAAAGGAATTTGTACATACTGTACACATAACAGACAGCATATATTTACATGTACAGTATAATTGCATTTCAGCTTATGTGTATTTACAGAAATTTTGAGCATATCACTCAACGAGGTTTTTGAAGTCTATGTGCTTAATCTTCAAACTGATGTGTATTTGTAATCAGCATTTATTCTGGTCTCGTTACATTGAACATTTAGTAAACAGGGAGAATATATATTTTAACCAAATAGTTTTGCATAAATATATCAAACTATTAAAACAGTAGGGAGAACGTGTTCCTGGCATTACGTGGAGGTTGGTACATACAAATTTAAGAGCGAGTCCTTTTCTCTTGGAAAATATCAAAAGGTGACTTAAATCAACAGCAAGGGAAAATAAAATTGTCATGGCTTATATTTAAATAAGATTGTAGCTTCAAGAGGTTTTTATAATTGTCCTGATAGTGTTTGCAGTTAAACATTCCACTTATGAAAATATACCCATGGTGCGGTAAAGTTTGTATTTATTTTTAGGACAACAGTATGTTTGCTGTTAAAAAAAAATTATTTATATATATATATTCCTTGGATTGAGGGTATAAAAGCAGTGCATGGAAGCCAAGAACCATGGCTTTAAAATTCACTACCTTCTATTATCAAAAAGTGCAGTAAACAGAAACATTGTATTTAATAAATTGCTCAAAAATCTTTGCTAAAGATCTTATAAATTCAGTAATATTACAGAAAAAATCTAATAAATATTTAAAAGGTTAATTACCTCCATAGTTAGATATTTGATATCCATGAGTTTTTAAGAATTATCATGAAAACAGTATCTTAGAATGAAAGGAACAGGGGACAGGAGTACTTTTAAGGGTACATGACTATGTAAATTAAGGTATACATAAAAAATAAAAACAAAACCCCCAGACCTGACAAAACGTTGCAAATTCCACTTCTTAATTAGCTGTAGGTGCTAATGGCTGTCCTGGGATGCGTATGCCTGGTTCAGAAAGCATATCCAAGGACTGAATTTAGCCATCCATCTATGATGGAAGATGTACAGAACATTCCTATTTACAGTAACTGGAGTTAAGTGTGTCAGCATGGCCTAGTAACATCCGCATTTGAGTGTATACAGATCCTATTTAAAGTGAAGAGGGAGGAAGGCACCCAGCAGAATAACATCTATAAATACCAGATGCAACAACAGGATAGAATTCTCCCCAAAAGCCAAATAACTACCTCCCTTTCAGACAGACAACATATTGCAATTACTTTATACTGGCAGATTAGATGTTTTTCTTTTTTTCTGATACAATACAGACAGACTGTTTTAGTGATCAAAAGGATAACAAGCTGGACAGAACATTTTTAATAACGTTAATAATTAATAATGTTAATAATGTAGAAAAAAATTCTACATTTGATATCAAGTATCTGTACCAGTGAAGTAATTTTCTCCTTATTAAATATACTATAGAATAATTTATATAATGACACTATGCATTTAAAGAGAAAATC